TTCGCTCCGCAAGCGTCGTCTCGACAGCACCACCAGCACCGCCGTCTGAGCGGCTCGTGGGAGACGACGAGGGGCCGGCGCCTTTGACGCTGCCCCCGCTGCCGTCCACTCTTGGCCTGCCGTCCCCTGTCCCCGCACCCATACCGCTGATGCTGCTGCTGCTGCTGCTGCTGCTGGCACCGCTGAGGTGCTTGTAGTCCCGCAAGGCGCGGAGGACGACGTCTAGAGCGGCATGCGTAACGTTGATCTACAAAGGACAAACGGCGTAAAGATGTAGCAAACGACGTGGGAAATGGGGGTACAGCAGCAGCAGCAGCAGCAGCACGCGACCGATTCAAACATTTTCCGAGAGTGAGTACCATGTAAGGTCCTTCACGCGCAACTCGGAGCGATGCGATGGGATACGATTGCTGGTCGTAGATACGCTGCGTGGTTGAAGCCATGTATTAAAAACGGGTGGGCCAGCAACGGACAAAGTAAAATGTGGAATGCAGCGTTTGCAACGCTGGTCTGGGCAAGAGCAACCGAGAACAATAAAAAAAAAAGTGGGACATCTCCCAATTAACTAGAGATGAGGTCAAACGAACAAGTTGATGACCAGTGCTTTGGACGATGAAAGAAGGATAATACCTCGCGAGCTTTCGTGGGTCTGGTGCAACAATCGCCTTGTTCGGGGGCAACAAACACGCGATCATGTTTACCCAGACGCCGCCAGTCTGAGGGTGACCAAGCCAAAGCGTCCGCAACACCTCACCTTGACGTCCTCCTCGAAGCACGACAGCCTAACCACTGAGCACGATTCCCCTTCCCCCTCCCCCTCCTCGCCCTGCCCCCCACCCACGACCCCGGTAACGGTGTTGGGGTCCTGAGCAGCAACACGGCGGCGAGTGACGATCGCCCTGTCTCCCTGGGCCACGACTCGCTCGAGCAGCGGCTCCCACCTCCCTCCCGTTGCATTGTAGTAGTCCACCTGGGTGGCAAGAATGGAGAAAAGGTACATACATTTTCCGTCAAGAAGTACAGCAGTACAGTAGAGACTCCGTTTTTTCACGAAACGTTGGGGTTTGAGAGAGAGACAGACAGCTAGCTCAGCGCGTGAATCCTACAACTACAATCTTCGTAAATTCGTTGCAATAACCTGTGCTCGACGGCGGCAACGAAACTACCGCAAAATTAAGCCTCGACCCGAACTTGACGTTTCTTAATTGCAGGGACATTCTGTCGGGTACCGGTTAAGGGTTGGTTTAGCGCGTAGGGGCTACTCCGCAAACACGCGAACCGAACCGTATCTATCGGAACTGGACACGGAACGTGTGCAACACGGGTTATGAACCTGAAACACGCAGAAGCAGTAGTACACTAGTGGGTCGGGTGTGCGGCTAGGTTAGCGCACGCATAGGAAGGGTAACTGGAGGAGACTTTACTGAATCAGTCACGTGTTCGCGGCTGTACCCATCGGCAAAATACGAAAAATCTACAATTCACGGTCCTCCCAACTCATGGGGGAAACGTCAAAATGGATTTAGACGTCAAAATTTGCGGTTCAGGTAAATCCATTTGGCCTAACTGGCACAAGACTGTGGTCCACTTCCGTCCCCGACGGGCCCCCCCAAAGAGGAATAGAGCCAAAAAACAACATTTGCGGGGGGGCGAGAGTATAGTATATAGCTGTGCTGGACCCACTTCCCATTCATCCCACCCCCCCCCATCACTTTTTATATTCTGCGTGGCCCCTTTCTTCTGAAAAAATAGCCAAAAGGTATCAAAGTTGTTGAGAATACCGCACAAGATTCGAGGGCAAACCGGCCATAATCCGCTAAGAACACCCTAGTGGGTGTAGAAGAGGTTCGGCTGCTTAGTAGATGCCGCTGTCCATAAGGTAGAAAGCCTCGTCGCGATCGATGTTCCCCGCCGACCCCAAGATCGTTGCGGCCCTCCCTGGCCGTGAGGTGCCGATCCCGTTGGTGGACGAGAACGTTACGCCCGGTACGTGCAGTCGGCAGCAGTGCAACTCCGTCCAAGCCGAGATCGTCAACAAGCAAACCGACTTCTGGCTGGAGACGGTTGTCATCCGCTACTCCACGTCCTCATCGTGCAGCCGGATGTGTAGCCGGACATCCATCGTCAAGAAGAAAGACGATTAGCAACCGCGTTACCGACTTGTCCTAGGGTTAGAAACTTCCTCACGCTACTCGATTTGCCCTTGAGTTACCACCAGATTTCCATCAGGAAGCCGACCGCCACAAGACGGCCTTCAGAAACGCGCGGGGGCGGCTGTACGGGTTCATGCATTGCGGCTTCGGCCTCACGACGATCCCCGCCGTTTTCTCGGCCCACCTGGGCGATACCCGTCGCCCGGTCGAAGTTCGGCCAGTACCTGCGTGCAGTGGCGACCAACAAGCGGAGTTCGGACTAGACGGACGTCTTTACTCCAGCTGTTTGCTCTCACACACTCCAGCGTGGTCCAGTCCGGCTCGATGGCGGCGTGGACTCGTAGCAGTCCTTCGAGTGCCAGGGGCGCTCCGCCAGCACCGCAGCCCAAAACAATGGGTCGGGGGCAGCCGGGGGGCCAGAACGGTCCGAACGTCTTCGTAGCTCTGGAGGCGGTGGCAGTTGTCGCTTTCCAAGAGCTCCGGCACGAGCTGGGGGGCATAGAAGACGGTAGCGGCACCGCCGTCTGGTGGCATACCTCGGTTGGCCCGAGCGCAACGTGGGAGACGCAGTCAAGCACCTTCTCATCCTCCACCGCTGCCCGAATTTCCGCGGTCACGTCGGCGGGCGGCGGGTCGGTCTCCTGGCGTCGTGTTGGAGGCGCCAACATCCGGAGCAGCACACTGTCGAGCACTGGTCCCGTCGGGCCCTGGTTGACCACCGGGCGGACGGTATCGTCAGGGAAGGATATGTGGACGGGCGGCTGTGGTGCTCCAACGAGGGCGGCGTCGAACGCTGGCTGGACGACATCCTGTGGCACCGTGGAGGAGCACCTTGCCCTCATCGAGGAGGTTTTCGACCTTCTCCACGAGGCGGGGTACTCGGTGCACTTCGAAGAAGTGCATGTTTTGCTTGTCGGAGGTGAAATTCCTGGGAGCCATTGTCGGCAGATCGGGCTTGCGGCCGGTGCCATCCAAGATTAAGGCCGTGCAGGAAATGGAGATGCCGACGACGGACGGGGAGGTGCGATCGTTCCTCGGCCTCGCCGGCTACCTCCGGGGGTTCGTACCGGACTTCAGTGCTCTCCCGGAACCCATCACCGATCTCCTGCAGGACAAGACGTTCAGCCCGAAGCGAGCGCGCTATCGTCGCGTACCGTGGGGCCCCGTGCAGACCGAAGCATTCCAAGCCATCACCAAAGCACTGTTTACCCACCCGGTTCTGGCGGTACCGAAGTAGAGCTTACCGTTCATTCTGCACACGGACGCCAGCGAACTCGCCCCAGGAGCGGTGCTCGAGCAGGTCGTCGAGAACCGTGAGGCCCCACTAGGCTACACCAGCCACCGTTTCCCACGAACGGAGGAGAGGTTCTCCCCCAACCGCCATGAGGTCCTTGGGGTGCTCTACGGCATCGAGCCAATCTGCACGTACTCCGGCGCTTCACCCTCGTCACCGACTGCGCCGCCCTGACCTGGCTGTTCACCAGCCTGGCTGAGAATCTGTCTTGCAAATGCACAGGAAGGCGCTGCGGTTGATGCAGTTCGACATTGGAAAGGCAAATACCACACGGCGCCCGACGCGCTGTCGGGCCTGCTCTCCTTCTAAAGTTCTCATCGGAAACGCCTGCCGACGCTACGACCCTCACCGCCGCGGCGACACGGCGGCCACCCAGGCCGCTGCCATCGTGGACACCCTCACCATCTCCACGGCGCAGTTGCTGCTCCCGGAGTGCCCGACGGGATTCTCAAGGACGCTGACGTGGAAGGAACGCCTGAGACCGAGCTTGGAGCAGGCTCGGTGCTTTCAAGGGGGCCACCCTCCACGCCACGGATGTAGGGGTGCACACCGGGAAACAGCGGGTCTTCGCGGTTGCAGAAAGCGGTACCCGCACAACTCCCCCAAACAGCTGCCGGCGAAGTTGCCCTGACCGCCAAACCCACGGTAGGCACGTTCTTGGGGGCGTGAGGGCCGCTTCTTCCCGAAACGGCTACCCGGCGACAAGGGAGTATTCAGCTTCTCCACACCCGTGATCACCTCACCCGTGGACACGTCGTGGGCCGTCGACCACTGCCGGAGGAGTACCAGCCCCACCCCACGGACGACGCGCCTGTCGTGGACGCAGACCTGGCATGGACTGATTCCATCAACCTCACCACGACCCAAGCCGACTTCCACATCCCGCCGACTGTTCGGCGTATCGACGCCGCGTGGGCGCTCGAGGGGTTCACGCTGTCAGCCATGCTCCAAGAAGCGGTCAGTGCGCTCAGCATCTACGGCGAGGTCGACACCCGTGCGCCCCAGCATGAACGAAGAGTTGTCGGCGGCCCTTGCTAGCCTCTGGCGGGAGCCAACGGAAGCACCAGGCAAGGAAGAGGGAGCACCGGGCGAGGACGAAGCACCCGCGGCCCCGATCGAGGAATGCTGTAGCCGCGCTCTGTTGTCACATGCATACCCAGGGTCACACGAGGAAAAATGGTCCGCCGGGCAGCACCCCCACCGGTTGAGCCCCCGGCCGCTACTCCCCCGGAGAAACCGACGGCCGCCACACCGGCCGCCAATCGCACACGGCGTGGTGGAACCGCCCGGGCCTCGTCCACAGGGAAGGCACCGGCCCGAAGCTCGGTGCCGACACCTCCACCAGAGCCGGCGCCGTCGCCGACGCCGCCTCCACCGTCGTCGCCGCCGGCCGTGGCCGCCGCCAGAACCGACGCTGCCCTTGCACCCACGGGCTTAAAACATTGCCCGGCACCAACGACCACCCGGGTAACGGTGGTAAACCGCGGCAGCAGTACCCCGCTGCCTCACCCCGAGGGACGCTCTTCGGATATTCACCTTCCGCTGGACACGCCGCAGCTACGCCGTTACCAAGACGGCACGTTGTCGCCCTGGCTATAGCTGAAGACGAGACGAGTGACAGCTTTTCGCCCCCGCAACTCGACGTCTTTCACGCGGCCAGCCCAAGGTCTTCAAGGCCACCGTCTTCGACTAAATACTGGCGGGTGGGAGGAGCTCACGAAGCGAAATATGGACGTTGTCATGAGAATGGCTACCCGTCCTTCCTTCTCTGCCTAATTAGCGACGGGTGCGTATTCCGCTGCCGTGAGCCTGCTGACTCTCCGCCTGGCAGATTGGGGGTGTGTGCTGGCAGTGGAATGCCGCGCGAAATCTCACACGGATTTTTCTGTTTGAACCGCCGTTATCGTACCGATTGACGGAGAATGGAGCTACTATATAATATTTAGATCGCCGTCTCCTGGTCCACGAGGGTCAAGATCACTTTCTCCTGGTCCTTGATCGGGACTTACCTTCACTAGTTTGTGTGCTTGCGGACTAACAAGGATTTGAGGAGTCGAACCGGGTGTAGGGACCAGAGCGCCCGTCCTAAAGCATAGCCATGTACCATGGTCGATTTTGGGGGGGTGCTGCGGCCGGTCGTCCCCACCGGTTCTCGAAATACGATGATGGCAACGTACTTCGAATCGTCACGAGTATCCGGAGGGCGTAGTCCGACATGATTAGGAATCAGACAGACCAATACGTCTCCCGATCCAGCCTGCTGGAGGGGTCCAGGGTACATGTCCCCGGACCCATGGGGGCTAATTTCTCTTCCTCGGCGGGTGCCTCCAAACAATATCTCAGGTGTTTCACTCAACGCCACCCTCAAAGCGAAAGATCGATTAAGCCATACCCTTACCACCGCCACCCATTGTGAGTGCAGAACCTGATACGCTTATAATGGAGGTTGCTATGGATGCTATGGATTATATTGATGCTATAGGAAGTCGGAATCTGCTTGTGATGCTGCTTGATTGCGTTTACGGATATCGACTCCACAGACATACAGGTGAGACGCATGTTTGCTACAGACGCATGTAAATCCCTTTACACTGTCATCTGCCTGTCTGTCTGTCGTGTCGTCAAGGGTACATTTTCTCGGAAATTAAATGTGGGTCCGCGGGGGGGGGGGGGGGGGGGGGGGGGGAAAGCCGGACTTTTCCAAAAAAAAAAACCCAAAACCCCACCCCCCGGCCAAAAAGGGGAAAACCCCGAGCCCGGAGGGGCCAAAACCCCCCCCCCGGGAGGGGAAAAAACACCCCCCCGCCGGCAAAACCCCCCCCCCCCCAAAAACAAACCCCCCCCCCCGAAA